CTGAGAGGATGGTCAGCCATTGGAACAGGCTGCTCAGGGAGGTGGTTGAGTCACTGTCCCTGGAGGTGTTTAAGAGACGGGTGGATGTTGCATTGGGGGGAATCCTTTAGTAGGTTGATAGGACTGGGACAAAGGCTGGACTCAATGATCTTCTAAGTCTCTTCCAGCTCATATGATTCTATGAAACTGGACGCTTTGGAGAGGTGGTCTCCTCCCTTGGCACCAGGCAGGCTGCGGGTTGAGGACCGGGGAGCGCCGGCAGAGTTTGTGGTCTCTCTTTTGTCCTCCCTCATCGAACCCTTCCTTTCCCCTTAAAGCTCAGCCATCGATGGAAGAAATGGTACCAAAGTAGCCATTAAGAAATTGTACCGCCCGTTTCAGTCTGAACTATTCGCCAAACGAGCCTACCGAGAGCTTCGCCTCCTGAAACACATGAAGCATGAAAACGTGAGTTGAGTCATTAGCAGATATCCCTCCCCAAGGCTGCAGCTTTACACACCCTAAAACCAAAGGAAATGTGTAGATTTGGACAAGGCAGATGTGTAGCTGGAATTCAGGAATCTTTTGGCCTATTGTTTGTCTGTCTTTCATCAACATACGGCAGTTCACCAAACTAGCATATCCTGCGGGAAACACCGTTTCCATGTAGGAAAGGCTGGGTGGGGAAGGTTATCGCTGAGGTAAAATTTGTGCTCAGAGCTAGTGAGAGATGTTAAGGACCAGAAATTACAGTCTCCATCACTGTGCTTCTGTGAGGTGCAGGAGCGAGCAAGCAGAGCATGGGTCTGTGCGTCTGGGTCTTGAGTATCAGCATCTCTTCTTTCCCTGACTTGCATAAGGGTGGCTATGGTACACATGCATATTTTTGGGGAAGGGGTAGAGCTTTCCTTTTTTTCATGGAATATTTGAAAGGTGTGGGCTCATACTAGTGTGAAACGGGAAAAGTGCACAAATTACTAAATAAGTTGCTTTGCTGAGAAGCATGAGAAAGGATACAGAGCTCTGCATAGACATCCACATAATGTGGAAGAATAGCCATAGAAAAAAGTGTAGAAAGTGTCATTGAGGTTAAGGTACATAGTCCCAATACTGCCTAGAGGCTTACGAAAAAAATAAGGGAGGAGAGATTTGCCTGAAAACAGTTTTTGTGGAATCAAAGCATGGATTCCAGGTAAGACAAATCCCAGGGTGGGACTGGAGGGTCACAGTAGTAGCTTTAAATGCTGCTCGTGAAGAATGCCTTGGGGTGGGGAGGAAGAGAGAGTTTGGAGGGTAGTGTTAAAGTGATGCATAAGAATGTGGTTTAAAATGTTATTATTACAGGAGATTAGAGCGTAACTCAGATGGCCTTCAAGGAAAACTAGGAGATTAAAAGAGGATGAGAGAAACTGGTAAACAATAACTAGTCATTGCCATTTAGTGGTATGGTATTAACATTTTGAGTACCAACAATGTGTAGGTTTGTTTTGAAGAATAATCTGTGGATAATAATCAGGATATCCTGATTGTCTAGAAAAAAAACAGACTTTTTTTTGTAGTTTTAAAAACGTACATGCTTGTTAGCATCTCAGTCTGAATATTTTAATACATTTTATCATTTTGCATGCTGATTCCTTTCAAGTGTTTCATAACCACTGCTGTATACTTTAAAGAGTTAATGTTTGCAGGGAACTTCTGTGTCGTGCATGGGCTTTCATACTCTTCAGCATTTTCTTTACTGAACATTTGGGAGCAGAGCATCTTATGCAGTTGCCAAGATCCTAACGGGGTCCAGAACTTTGAGATTATTTTTCTTATATTTCCCAGAGTAATCTTCTGGGCAGAATTTTCCATTCCTGACAGTTTTATGCAGTTTATGCCCTTCCGGGTAATACCCTGGAACCCCTCCATGTAACTGTTTGATAATTAAGCAGTCTGGAAGAAAAAGCTCACTGAGGAATGTGAGCACAATCTATACAAGTTACAGATTAATGTCTATGAAGGAAGGGAATAATCTACAGTTTTAGGAAACAGTTTGGGCCACAGAAAGAAAAATCTGGTCTAGGTACTAAGAAAAAGTATTACCAAGGCATCTACTGATTAGAGAACAAAGACTGAATGTATGATCCTGCAGGGATTTGCAGGCACCATGGAGGCGGAATCTGACTACTCCACCTTTCCACGATGAGGCTGGCAAGGCCCATCAGGAGAATTTCCATCCACCCAGCCTTACACCCTTCTGTCATTCATTTCACACAGTGAAATTAGGAAATTAGTAAATTAGGAATAGCAACAAGCCCTTTTAGGATTTCTACTCCCTGTACTGACCTCGGGATACTCCTTTAGCCTCTCCACCCAGGTGAATTTAAACCAGAGTGGCAATAGCACTCCTCGTCAGGATTTTCAGCACCCCGCTTTAACGCGCCGCTATTCTGTAAGAGAGCCACTTTTTTGTGTATTTTCACCAAAGGGTGGAATTGCAGGCAGACAGTGTGCTGTGCACACCTTTAACAATACGTGCAGCAGCGTCAGTTGCCTCTTCTCTGTTGTTACCATTATGGTGTCTGTGGCTCTGGCTGTGAAGTTCTGAATGGGCCCCACTCAGGTGGGTGCATATTTCCTTGTAACAGGAATCAATAGAATAGAACAGCAACTGAAGTATTTTTCCTGTTTGGTTTTTTTTTTTCTGTTAAATAGCACATTGTAGTATACTTCTATAAAATAGCAGTTGTCTGTCTTTCCAGCTGTACTATAAATACAGCTGCTGTAAAAAATGAATGGAACTGAAATAATTTTTTAGTGACCACAATAAAATAGCAGTGTCACTGTTAATTGCCTTGGATGTTGGTAATCTTATATAAGGACGTGGCGTGGGACAGCTGCTGTAACAGTATTGGCACTATGGATTAGATTTGGGATATTGTTGTAATGTTGCACATGTTCATCTTGCTTTTTTCCTGCTTCAGGATATAAAATGTTTCAAGGTTCTTTTTATCTGATAGTTAGAATTACATCCAATTCACTCTTCTGATCTGTTTTTCTTTCAAAATTACTTCTGTGATCATAATACACTTGATGTTGGATTACATGAAGAGTGTGATGTTGTGTTTGTTTCACCATGTTTACCTCTCAGTGGACCATCTCTGCCCTTCAGAGCTTTCAGGGAAGTGTTGGGTTAAGCATGTAGCAATACATTATCATAGTTTATTTAATCTTACGCTGTATTCAGAATGGTGGAAGTAACTGTAATGGTCTGACACACTGTGTTAAAATTAGCATTTCTGATCCTCCATTAAGGTAGCAGAAGATACCGTTAAACCCGTGCCACAGTGATACAATTCATCATCATGTCATGCTTGAGTGAAGAAAATGGAGTGGAATTTATGCTTTATGTCCTGGATGACCTCCATTATAGACCCTTTGAGGAATATGTTAATCTCCTTAATGTGGAAAAGTTGTAGAACTGACCAGGAGTTCTGTAAAAACAAATATAGGAGTCACCCTACTGAATTTTACTGCAATTGTATTTTACCTTGTAAGGAAGCTAACTCACAGATCAATTTGCTTGTCTATTTAGAGTTTTCAGGAGGAGGCAGCTCTGGTTGCTGGCATGACCATCTTTCATTGTATATGCCATAGACCTTTGTTCTCCCTAATGGCTTTCAAGCAGGACGTTACTGAAATGTAGTGAGGAATATTGCTGTAGAAACCACACAAACTTGGTAGCATGGGACTTGTCATCAACCTTTTGTGAACAAATCCAACAAACTGCAAACAAATTGGTTGAGAACTATGGGGCAGAGGCTGTGTGTGAAAAGGATGAGATCTGCCTGTTAGGAGATAAATCAGTGACTTTAATGGTGCTGGTAACCCTTTATTTATTCTTTTTTTCTTTTTTTTTGGTAGACCTTTTAATTTGAGAAGACATGAGATGTTTCACAAGCATCATAAGGTACTTCTACTGCCTAAAAAGCAATCCAACACAAATCAATTCCTTAGACATTGCCAAAAAGAAAAGGTACTTTCCAGTGGGATAAGTTGCTGGATTGCTCTGTCACTGCATAAACAAATATTCTGGCACAGGAGAGGGAACGGTGAGAAAAAGAGGAATAAAAACAGCTAAGGCAGAATGAAGAAAGCATGTTTTTTTTGGTGTTGGTGGTTTTTTTCTTCGTTTAGTCATGCTAGCCTGAAGTATTCATCCTACTACAGTCTTAGCAGCTCTTGATTATTTTTTTAGCATGTGCTGCATATTGTATAGAAGAACAGACTGTTTACCTTTAGGAAATTTTTTTTTCAGTAGTGCTGCTTTTGTTCCCTGTTTCTTTCCATTTTGAGCTCAGTTAAAGTGAGGACCCTTGAAACTATCTGTCAAGGCTCTGACTTAAAATTAAGATCAGTGACAATATGGCCAGTATGTAACTTAGGTCCTGTTTTTGGCTCTCAAACATTTGCATAGCTCTGCATTCTTGTATTTTGAAATTAATGAATATATCTGTGTATGCAAAGCTAAACCCAAACAAGTAAGCAGAAGGGTGCAGAATCTTTCATTTCATTTGGCCAATAACTTGGATTTTATTATGTTGTTTGGACTGGAAGTGGTACCACGATACCTACTTTTGCTGAAATAACTGCACAGTGGCTTGTACTGGTCCAGTCCTGCTGCCCTTCTTGCCTTCCAGTTCGCTAACAAAAGTTTAAAGTTGCCAGGAGGAATGAAAAATAGCTGGCAAGGAGAGATGGCGCTGGAGAGAGGGAGAGAAAAGCAGCGACTTGCACTCCTGTCTTGTGTCAGAACAGAGTGCGGATTTCATCAAAGCGTGGTACATGCTTATGTGTACACGTGTCTACCAATGGATTCATAAAAACCCAGGAGAATTCTGATGCAGTTCTACCAGTGTAAATTCTGAACATGTTTCTGGCATGAAACTTTCTGACAAATGCCCATTAAACTTTTCTTGGGTTGGTTAATACTCTACAGATGTTTTCTCTTCCTGGAAACCCTGTATGTAAGAAGCAACTGCAGTGTTTGGTTAAAGGTACTCTGTGTTATGCTCTCATTCATTGCTTGGAGTGGAAATAATTCTCTGGTGTATTCTCACATCTGAAGACCAGTGTATGTTTTGCATTATGAGAAGTACATAGCTTTTTTTCCCCCCTTTTGGAAGGAACTCAAGTATCCAACAGTCACCAAATTGTCTGTCTCTCAACAGTTATGTTTCTGAGGATGATGCAGGCCTTCACTTTTAGGTTGGCTAGTACTTAATTCTATTGACTTCTTTATTTTGGAAAAAAAAAAAAAAGTGGGCTTTTTATTTGCAGCTACACGGTGTCAACCAAGGGAGGAGTTTGTTCCAGAGATAATAGTGGGGCACTTCATGTTGCTGCCTGAGAAAATCTTAAAACCTTCACCTTTTATGGTTCATCTAGCCTGATGTGAGCGTTGGAAGAGCAACAGCCTGTGCAGCGTACAAAATCAGACCAACAAGGGAGTTGCAGATGAGTGATGCCCTTACAGGTGAAAGCATGCTTACTGTGTTAGGAGAGGTTTCCCACAGCAAGTCCTGCAGGACTGCACCAGTTAAAAATTCACATCCTTCAGGTGCACAAGTACCAGTAAGGAATCCTCGCTAGAGATGGCAAATCTTATGGGTCTTTATGAAAGCAAAAATGTGGTTGTAACTGGATAGTTTACTGCTGTCAAAAGGTTGTAGGGGAGAAACATTTCTGGTGGCTTTTCTGCTGGCTGAAGGCTTAGCATGGGCTAGGGACACCAGGGTCACACCAGAGCCACTTATTTCCATACTTAAAAGCCAATAAATCAACACAGTGGTATTGGTTGTCACTTCTGCCTTATTTCCACAACCCTGCCTAATAGGCAGTTTAGCTAGGCTGGACTCAGCTTACATCCATTTATTCACGCCCCAGACTTGGGGACTAATGAAGCAGACTGATTAGCTTAGTCCAGTAACTGAAAATAAGGAAGATGGCACCGAAACACACACTTTCTCTTTGGGTCGCCATCCCATCCAGAGATGAAGGCGTGTCTGTCCAAAGGATTTCCATCTGTCCAGTGTCACGTGTGGGCCCTTTGAAAGAAGAGTGTGGTGGCACTCGTGGGTATGGCTTGTGCCCGCTGGTGTGCCCGCTGGCAGGAGAAAAGGAGAGGAGCTCTTGGTCCCTCTGCAGGCATCCCTCATGTTATGTAGCAGTAGTCAGTGGGGAGGAAGGTGACTGTGGCACAAACCTTGTGCCTTGATAGTTATAATTTAAAAAAGATTGAGAGTTCCTAGTGTAGTAAAAGGGTGCTGGTGCCCGTGATGTGGTACAGTGCAAGAACGTGAAGTTGAAGCTAACCCTGCAGAAAATGGAATGCAGTGTAATATGTAGTTCAGTGTGCTCCAGCAGCATCTTTCTCAGAAAATGTACTTGCATTTGTAGCTCAAGTGCCAAAGCTGCTCAACTTCACTGTGTTTTTCATGCGTAACATCCACAAGAGAAAGCAGCACTTACTGTATAAGAGGCAGAAGCTGCATTACTTATTAATTTATACAAGATTCGAGTCTTTCAGTGATGTGCTGCTGCTTACATCAGAGACTTTCCTTTACAGAAATGCAGTGCAACAGTCCTTGAATAAAAGCAATCCAAGACATGAAAATACAGGGAAGGATAGAGATGAGGAGCTCTTTGCTGCTGTGCTCCACTACTGGAATAGCATTTGGAGAAGGAGGCAGCTGAGAGAGGAAGGGCAGACAATGCAAAGCTGTTATTTATTTCTTGATGGTAATTAAAGTTGATCAAGGTGGACGATACAAATGTCTTAGGAAGGGACAGATGATAGGGATAAGAAAAGCTGGAGACACTGCCACCCACCCCTCACCAGCTTCATAGGGAAAAGACACAATCAACAAAGTAAATGTATTGAATAAAAGCATACTCGTGGAAAACAAGTTAGACCAAGAGAGGGGTAGTTTTGCTTTTACTGTGGTTTTGCTTTGCAGCAAAATGGGAGAGACACAGTAATGCATTCTCTCCTCAAGATACAAGCGAGGAAAGTTCTTCAGCGGAGTATGCAGAAATCCTTGTTGCTTTTCAGTCAAATGGGCAGTAGGAAACAAGCTGCATCCTTTGTGGGCTGATCCATTCAAGAAATTGCCTTTTGGCAGAATGAATGGGGAAATAAATGAGACCCTGAAAGGGCAGCGTTGCTGCTGTTTTCCACAGATGCTTTTCCTTGCCATGGCAGAGCATGCTGGGTTTGTTCCTTGGTTTTGCTTTGATAGTATCAATAATTGTGCTGAATTAATACCAAAAATAGAGCTGCGGAAGATTTCACAGATCCCTCCACTGTGTTTCATGTAGGCCACACTGTGAAAAATAAATGACTCTTGTACTTGTTTTCCAGTGGTTTACTTTTGTGCTGGGACATTAAGTATCATAAAGTGTTCTTTTACAAATACTGTATTTAATTGGGAGCATTTTAGCCAGGCACAAAAAATTTTCCATAGTATTATGGAGGAGGGAGTTTCCTGCACTTTGTCCAGTTCTTTTCCTTTTCCCAAAGGAGTGGCTGGAGTTCTATCTTCCTTGGAGGATTTATTTTATCCTGTACCTCCTTGCACTTAACATATCCTCAGAAAGCTGTGATCTAAATGGAAATACTAATGTGTTCCAGCACAGGAAAGTCATCCCATAGTGCAGCTGTTAAATAAAGATCACTGAGGAAAAAGGAAGTGGGTTCCTCACTTTAATTTTTAGATTGATTAACTATTAGTATGTCTTACCATTTTGGACACTAAAATAGATTTCAGGATGTTTTAGAAAGCTCTCTTTGTAAAGCAAGAAAAGAAGTATTGTGAAGTCCTTGGCATGCTAAAAGAGTTTTCTGGTTCATTATTTAAAATTCCCTTCAGTGGGAGCTGAGCGTTGGTCTCAGAGGTATTCTTCACCGCAGAGGATTTGCTGCAATGGTGAGCCTGTCCACACGAGTTTGACGCCTTCCTTCAGAAGTCATGTATATTGTATATCGGGCGGCACTGAGTAACTACCAGGAACTCTATTGACTTGAATGGAGAAGCAGTAAAATGCTAGTGAACTTCAGGAAGTGCATTTTGGGGCTGGTATGTTCTTCATGGAAATTTTGGTGCTCCCATATTTCCCAGCCTCGGTGCGCAGAGGGGCGCAGCAGCCAGGCCGTGTCGTCCTCTGCTGTGTCCCTCCTTGTTACCGCAATGTCCCCATGTCTTCCACTGCTACATTCAGATGTGATGGGCTTTGTTTTCTTACAGGAAGCACAAGCAGGGCTTCTGAAAAAGTGGGGCTTAATAGGAGCGTTATTGCATAAGATCACTGTTAAAATGTTAACTTCCTTCTTTTTAATACCGAAGTCTTTCAAGAGCGTACAACTTTTCTGGCTCTGTGTGTGTAATCACGCCGCCTTAGGAAATGCTCACAGAGCTGCATTAGGCTCTATTGTTGTCACATACATCTTCCTAAGTCCTCTCTCATCCCTTTCTCTCCCTACCTCCACACAGAAATGGAAAACCTTACGTAAAACTGTTATGCAAAAAAAAAAAAAAGGAAAGCATTCTAGCTGTAATGTTAGCACTGAAGGTATTACTTAAAATAATAACCATATTGTCTGTGGGTTTAATTATTGGTTTATGGCAGTTATATTACTCTTACTTAATTAGTTTTGTATAACAGTCCTCAGGAAAATATTGTTACTGATTTTTTTCAAAGATATGTGTGGCTACAAAAAAAGGGAGTTGTAGTTTTCTGTCTTCATCGTTATTAATTTTTTTATCTTGTTCATCATTATGACATTTTGATAACATCCAGGCTAACTGTAGTGGTTCCGCCAGAATGTGGTAAAGAAAGAAGTACATGCAGTAAGGATTTCATCACAGTTGGAGATTTTTATTTAAAGCTTTAAGTAAAGGAAGTTGCTTTTCTTTTCTTGCATTTTTCTCCCTGCATTTCTACTCTCGCTTCTCTTTACTTTTGCTTACTTTTTTTAAAGAATTCTTGGGTTTGGAGCAACTGAGATGTAGAGGCTTCCTCTAAGCAGACAGAAATATTTGTGAATTAGCAATAGAAGTAGACAAAAAGCAGCTCTAAAAGCCTGAGCTTAGGCAGTGCCTGGATTAAGCAGCATCCAGGCTGAGATCTGGCTTTAGACAATTCCAGCTACATCTTTTAGAGCATCGAATTCTATATATGTAATTTTCTGGTGTTTAATAGGCTTGAGAGAAGCATTGGCAGTTACCATAATGCATCTAGTCAGTTGGTATAGTTCTACTGAAAACTGTACTAGTAGGAAAAACTGTGATGGGAAATCTGTGTTACTCAGTTGATATTTCTCTGTTGAGTGATAGAATGCTTTTGTTTGACAAAAAATGCTCTTAAGGAGAACCTAATGTATAAACCATATTAAATCATATTAAGCTCTTGATAAACTTTTTATAAAAATAAATTAGTTCTAGTTTCTTCTTCATATTCCCAATTACATATTGTAATCTGTGTACCTAAATTACCCTGTTACTCTAATTAGAAGATATTTAAAATGTTCTTTATTGTCAGGCAGCAGGCCCAGCTAGGTGAATAGCACTTATGACTGTGTCAGGTTATAAACTGATTTGTCTGCTTTATTTTCAACACTTCAGTGATTCAAGTTAAAAAAATGTTCTCTCCTCTTAAACTACTAGCCTCTGAACTTTTTGTTCAAGTAAATACACTTTTTTTATTTTTTATCACAGGGTCAAACAGCCCTCAGAGTTATAAAATTTACACATAACAAATCCTGGTGTTGCTAGGCGCCACTTTAGGTATTCTTTCTTCCATCTTTATGCCTGTAGCTAATGTCTCACTATGGAAATGTTTTTATTATATTTTTTTCACTCGTGCAGTTCATGTTTTTTTGTGTTAAATCAGTATAAATTTTTTTTTCCTCTCCCTTATTTTTAGGTCATTGGAATACTGGATGTTTTCACACCAGATTTAACGCTGGAGAAGTTTAATGATTTGTAAGTTCCGAGTTGTTTGTGTTTGGGAGCAGGGCACTGCTGCTTATGCAGGAGGGACGGTTGTTGCTTTTTTAAATGGAGAATTATAAAATATTTTTTCATGGATTTTTTAATGAATTTAATCTTAATATGATTCTTATGTGCAACATCCAAACTGGTGGGATGAGGTTTTCAGTTTGTCGTTAGAACCGCTTACCTATCTTATGTGTACTTCTTTCAGCCTTCTGTGAATGGCAGTCTGCTGGATTCCCTAACCTACCTTTCAAGTATTGATTCCTTCCCTAAGGCCCAGGTTGGCCAAATGGTAGGAGAATTCTTAACCCAAACAAGTTGGCCAAAAATGATGCCTGTTACACAACACGCGTCTGGTGTGACCCATCCTTATTTCATAGATTATTTCAAAACTGCTGAATTTTTTAGTGGTTACCTGTGCTGTGGTCTCTTGTACTCCCTGACTGGTTTCCCTTTGTGGTGATCCAAACAGGATAGGGTGTAGATCGTTGCTAACACCGGCCATGTACATCTCCCTGACATTTTGGCAGCATCTCAGACACAGATATTTAGTGTGTCTGTTGATTTGCTTGTGGATCCTGCTGCAATCCTTGTGAGTCACTAGGTTGGCAGTGATTGGAAGTCCTGTTGGGCTTAATGCGGACTTCATGTTATGTTCATAGAACTGTTTTGGATTTCATCTAATGTAGCTATGTGTTACAAACAACCTTGCATACTTACCTGTTAACAACGAAAGCTCTCTGGCAGGAAAATGTAAAAAATTAAAATGTGGACCATGTGTTCATAATGATAATTTAGTCCAAAATGATCATTGAGCCAAAAAGGATGTTGTCCATATTGCCTATTGTGCTAGCATTTTATACAGCATATTTAATAAAATGCACGTTCATGCCATTAGCATTCAAGTATCGTGTTTTAAATGGGACCCTAAAATCATCCTTCCAAGTTTTGGAGGTACAAGTCAACTGAGAGGGTCACTTTATAACTGAAGCTGCGACATGTGAGCCTGTGGCAAAATTTGCTGTCAAGACTTTGGGCAAGTCGTTAGAGATGAATAGAGGTAGATGTGTGCACATTTAAAACAAAAGTGGACCAAGAGCTTTTGTGAATTAAGGTCAAATGGGTCATTTGAGGTAATTTTTGCTGACTAGTCATGAGATATTGTCTGTGGCCTGTTGTGTGAAGATCAAAATTCAAATGGCTTTGTGGCTAGAAGTGGCAGAAGCGAGGTGGGTGGTTTCACCAGAGCCAGTCCCTAAGGTTCATCTTGTCTGAGACCTGGAGTTTCTTAGCTGACTCCTAGCCCTCCTCTCTAGAGGGAGCATCCTCCTACTCAACCTGCCACTGCTCTTCTGCTCCTCTACTCTACCAGGCAATATGTTAATGAAGATTGAAGACAAAGTCCTGTCTGCTTCGTGAAGAAAGTCCTTTCCCTGTTCATGCTTGTGTTGAACTTCCTTCAGTTTTAGAAGTTCAGCTGATTTAAATGGTGTACAAAATCAGAAATCTTTATCAATATAAGTCCCACTCTACCAGCTGCTTTTCACTCCCTTCATTGTATCACACACAATGTGCTGGAATGGGTTGCTGCTCCTCATTTTGTAAGAATTTGGGGATTTAACTGGAACTTGAAAGAACTTAAATGCATTAGGCATCAAATTCCCTTTGAAGTGAATTATTAATCAGGTGCCAAACCTCCTCAGCTTATTTGAGGATTCCAGCTGTGGACTATAAATACATTTTTAGTAATAAAAATAAGTTAGGAAATCCTAACAAACAAATTTTAACAAATTGTTAAAAGTGATCCCATAGTGTTTGATCCCATTGCCCTCTTCCAATGTGTGGCTCATAAATTATTATTAAAGTTTGGATTTTCAAACCCAAGTAGGCCTCCTTCTAGTTGACTCTAAGAGATTCGAAGTCACGAATTTATAAACTTTAAGCAAATTGTGTGTATGTAAAAATGAAGTTGTCCTGGTTTGAGCTAAAAAACGCATTTCTGTTTAGCGATTTTTACTTTCTAGTTTAGTCTCTTGCAAAGGGCTGCACTTTCTAGAGTTAGCAGCATGTTTTTGCAGACAGTGCCTGCTACTGGCAGTGATAACACCTGATGTTTACAGTTACTGCCTGGGACTGGGATGCAGAAAGGCTCTTGCTGATACTTATTCCTGTAGTGACCAAGGCCACTGCTGGCTCTTGTGTGCCACACTGGGGGTGCCGGCTAGTGAGAGGGGTCACAAGGAAGTAAAAGGTTGCACCTCTGGGGAGTTACAGACAGGACGGGTGACCAACAAGAGTATTCCATTTCATATACATCATACTTAGTATGAATTGAGTGATCATTAGAGTTTCTTTCCCTTTTCTGCAATGGCCAGCATCCAGGGAGGACTCCGTCCAATCTCCTACTTAGGATCCAGAACCTGAGTTCCCAAATCCAGCTCCCTGTATCCAGCTCCTGCTGCCGCTGAGCCTGGGGCTTCCCCAGTGCCTCCTGCTCTGCAGCACCAGTGGGGATTGTTATCAGGGAGGAGTCAGGTTCAATATTGGGCTTATATATAGTTGTATATAGTTCTTTATTTTCATCATTTCATGATTATTTCCATTATTGTTTCATTAAAACTGGTTTAATTGTTCTTTTCTAACCCATAATTCTGCCTCTTTCCCGTTTCCTTCCCATTTAGGAGGAGAGAGGGCTTAGAGAGCATTTGTTCACATTTAGTGGCCAGCCCAGCCCTAACCCGTGACAGAAGTCTTCTCATCCTTTTTTTTTACAGTGTTTAATGGTTATATACAGCTTGGAACTTTGTCCATTCACATAAAACACTATCTGTCCAGAGCTTTGGGATTTTTACAGATGATGGCAGGCAAGCAAAATACTAATGAATTCATGAAGATCATTAGCAGTAATAAAAAATGTGTAGATATATCTCTATTTCTTTTGCCTCACCTCTTTCTAACTGTTGGGGTTTTTTTTCTAGAACAGTCACTAAAGGGGTTTTTTATGGCTCGTTCTAAATATTCATGATGTCTGGGAAAACGTATTTGATAAGTCTGACTGGGGGAAGAACTTAATATGCTTTCAGCAGTCAGAAACATCAACAAAGAAGTTGAACTCCATTTTCTAAGGCAGTTGGTCTGTTGATGGGAGACATGTTATACGTTACACTAGGGGAGAGATAAGAAATGTCATTCTCTTCTCTGTACTTGCTCTGTCCTAATATAGATACAGAAATAAATTGCTCATCTTTTGTATCCAAAGGGTAGCAAATTTGTCTGTGAAAGCTGGTTCTGGGAGCCTGAGTCCTGGTCCCCAAAGCTGTAGGGAAGAAGTGTTAGCTACCTAGGAAATGTTGAAAATACTACCTGTGATTCTAGTGACTAAATCAGTGCCCCATCTCCCTTATGACTTTATACACAATTTCTGTTTTGTTTATAGATACAATTCTAATTGAATAAATGATTTTTTTAATACAAACTTAATAGTGAAAATCAACAGAATTATAATTTGCATATTTTAACCGGAGGAAACCCATTGAAGTCTAAATAATACAATTTGTATCTATGAAACGATGATCACCTCCAATTCTTCCCTTCATGAAAATGAATCTACTTGTCTTAATAAAAGGAAAACTATTGACTTTATCCTCAGGTGCCAGACATTATTTGCTCCGTCTATATTCAGACCCAACTTTTAAGATAGACGCTGAAGAATGAGCTTACTACATGCAACGGGAAGAACAGTTTTGGATCCTAAGTGAAGATTATCCTTGAATGGCCAGCTTGGTGTTCTCAAGCTTTCTGTTGCTGGTGTCCCTTACCAGTACTAAATACCAAAGATCCCAGTTTATGATCCCAGATGAAGATTAATGGAAATTATTGTTGCCTCCTAATTTGATCATCTCTATTTCTAGGTAGTTTGGTTGCTGCTAGTTGGTTGTGGATACATGGCATTGCATGAATGTCTTTGTTCCCTGGGTAGGTGTCTTTGAAATATCACATGGTTCTTGCTTAGGTTTTTTCTAACTAGTTCAGAATCTGACCTCTTCTGATGAGTTGCAACTTTCCATAATCAGTGTCAGGGTAGGGCAGTACATCTTTATGACAAAATAAAACCAGAGACACCTAGAGAACAGGAGGGTGATTGATGGAATTGTTTGGTAAATTGAACGATCTATAATTTAATATTGTCCCTGAGCTATAACATACAACTGTGTTTCAATTTACTTGACAAATTAAAGTTATTTTGTCCTTTTTTCTTTTCTTTCCTTTATTTTTCTTTTTCAAGCTACCTTGTCATGCCATTTATGGGAACAGATTTGAGTAAGATAATGAAGCACGAGAAACTAACAGAAGACCGAATCCAGTTCCTGGTATATCAGATGTTGAAAGGCTTAAAGGTTTGCTGCTTTTACTATTATTTTGATTTCATGATCTTTTTTCCTAGTAAGCCGTTATGGAGAGATATATAAATACTTATAATTTGACAGCAGGGTATGATTTATCTTACCTTGTATAGTAAAAGTAATGACATTCTTCGCAGCAGGTTTTTTGTGATGCTAAATGTTATCTGGGTTTGGGGTTTTTTTTTTGTGTGATGATTTTGTGTATGGCTTTTTCAAGCAAAAAGAAAAGATAGTCTATGCAAGATCTATACAGCACATTGATCCACGATGACCTTAGGTTTCCTTATTTGAGTACACCAGAACATCCCTGATGTGATTTTTAGGTACATTCTTCTCTGGTAGTTGACTGTGGTGCTGCTTTGCCATACCTCTTACTACGGCTTGCTGGAGAACATAGAAACTGAAAATGTTGAGTTTAGAGACAGGACCCACCTGGACTTGAACTCTCAGCTTCAAATTTCTCTAATTCAAAAATGTTTCCATGGCTTATGATACTGGTCTGACACACTGTTGCTGAGGCACACTACACCTCACTTGCTCCAAGTGTCGTATCCTTCTGCGCTCTTCTGAGGAGTGTATGTATATGTATATGTATGTTGCTGTATGTATATATGTGTGTGTACATATATTTATACCATACCTATATATGTGGTATATATGTACCATACTTATCTATTAACCTGTAGGTGTGATATTTTGGGATGAAAATCTGACCCTGAGAGGGACTCTGAGCACTCACATTGGTTTGGGGAAGTGTTCAAGGACGACAGCAAGTGCTGGATTGGTCCCTGCAATGTTTGAAAGTCCAGCTCTGCAAAATACTAAAGCTCATCGCTAAATTTAAATGGATAAATAATTGGGATTATTCTATATTAAAATACCTTCCTAAGCAGGTTTCTAAATGTTTTCTGTGAAATTGAAAAGTATGTGTCCTTTGTGTAACATACACATAAAGTTGAAGAGTCTCTGAAGTCTCCGAGTCTGGGACAGCTTTGTTAAAGAGCAATGACTGGGGATTCTTAGTGACAAATCTGCACGGGAGGTGGCTGAGAGGAGCACAGCCTGCCTACAAGCCCAAACTTTATAGGGACCCGAGTTAAACAGCTGTGAAAGGTGTCAGAAGGGAATCTGCTGAAAGGAAATAAATTTTTAATACCTTTTAGCAGACCCACTGAAATTGAAAGGGCCCTCTGGAGACTCTGTAGTCCAACCCCCCTGCACAAAGCAGGGTCAAACTGATCAGGCTGTTCAGAAGCTTTTGCGGGTGGATTTTAGGTATCTTCAAGGTTAGAGACTCCACAGCCTCTCTGGGCAACCTGTTCCAGGGTTCAGTGTCCCTTACAGCAAAATAAGTTTGTTTCATCTTTAAACATAAATTCCTGTGTTTCAGTTTTTGTCCACTGGTTCTTGTCCTTTCACTGGGGACTACTTAGAAGTATCTAGTTCTGTCTGTTGCCTCCGTCAAGTATTTATGCACATTGATAAGATGCACCATGAGCATTTTCCCAGCTAAACAACCCTGACTGTCTCAGTTTCTTCTCTTACATCAGATGCTCCAGTCCCATAACCATCTTAATGGAGCTTCACTGGATTTGCTTCAGTGTCTGTCTAACTGGGAAGCCCAGTGCTGGACTCAACACTCTGGGGTGTGTCTCACCAGAGCTGAGAAGAGGGGAAGGATCACCTCCCTCAGGTTGCTGGCAGTCCTCTGCCTAATGCAGGAAGGGCACATTGCTCACATTCAGCTTGACCGTCAAGACCCCCAGATCCTTTTCTGCAAAGCTGGTCAGCCCCCAGCCTGTACTGATGCATGGGATTATTCTCTCCCATGCACAGGATTTTGTTGAATTTTGGTGGGTTTCTGTCACCCCATTTGTCCAGCCTATAGAGATCTCGCAGAATGGCGACACAACCGTCTGATGCAGGAAAATTCCTCTCGGTTTTGTAACATTTGCTGATTTGCTGAGGGTGCACTCTGTCCCGTCGTCCAGGTTGGTGGTGAAGATGCTAAACAGGACTGGCCTCAGCACTGACCTTAGGGGGGCACTGCTGGTGATGGGCATCCCGCTGGGCTTACTGCCCCTGGTCACAGCCCTTTGATCCAGGCAGTTCAACCAAATGACTCGGTCAGCTTTGATCCAAGTGGTTCAATCTCCCTCACTGTCCCTTAATCTAACTCATACTTCTCCTGTCCATGAGGGTGTTATGGGAGAGCGTTTCAAAAGCCTTGCTAGAATCAGGGCCAACAACACTGACTGTTCTCCCGTCATCCCCCAAGCCAGCTGTCTTATCACAGAAGGCTAACAGGTTAGTCAGATATGATTTTCCACTTTGTGAATCCATGTTATCTACTGTCAGTCACTTCCTTGTCCTTGTTACATTTGGAAATGTCTTCCAGGTTTATTTGCCCATTTTACCTTCCTAGAGAGTGAAGTATGCCTAACTGGCCTTTATTTCCTTGGCCCTCTTCCTCCTTACCCTTTTTGAAGACATGAACAATATTTGCTTTCTTCCCACCATCAGGAGCCTCTCCTGATCACCGTGATCTTTCACATATTGTTGAGTGGCCTCACAATGACCTCGGCCAACTTCCCTTTGCGTTCATGAGTGCATCCCTTCAGGATCCAGGCACTTGTGTCTACCCAGTTTGTTTAAATGTTCCCTAATCTGATCCTTCTCCACTGAGGGTAAGTCTTTCTTGCTCCAGACTTTTCCAGTGGTCTCAGGGACCTATGATTCAGCAAAAATTCCCAGTAAAGGTGGAGGGAAAGAAGACATTGAGTACTTTGTCCTTTTCCAGGCCCCTTGTCACCTGATGCTCTGTCCCCATTCAGCGGGCCTGTGTTTTCCCTAGTTTTCTTTTTGCTCCTAGTGTGCAGGTAGGAGCCCTTCTTGTTGCCTTTCATGTCCCTTACCAGGCCCAGCCCAGGGTGGGCATCGCCATTCCTAGCTCCATCTCTGCACACTGAGGACAGTGTCCCCACGTTCCTGCTGGGTGACCTGACTCTGCTTGTGCCTCATCTGCATTTCCCTAGGAGCTCTTCATCCACCATGCAGGCCTCCTGCCGCCTTCGCTTGATTTTGTCTCCTAGTGCTTGTTTTTGTAATGTGTTGGCATTTTACACTCTAAAATTATGGAAGGATTTGTAAGAGGCTCGAAGGGACCATTCAGATTTGTCTAGTTTCAAGCTGTGTAGGAAGGCTTCATCTTGTAGCTCCTTTCAAGGCTAAACAGCCCCAGTTCTCTCAGTCTCTCTTCATAGGAGAGTTGTGATTTAGCTGGAGCATGGCGTCTGGGGAAGAATAATAATTTCAGGGCAAAATTTTCTTATACTTGAACAAAAAGTATAATCAGACTTCATCCTTAAGTTAGTCTTTGGGCTTCTTCATGATTCTTTTTTGGTTTTGGGGAGTTTTTTTGTTTGGGGGTGTTTTTTTTCAGAGAATGACCCTGAGTGTAAATCCAGTTAAGCTTTACTGTTAATCCCTTGCTTCTGCTCAGAAATAATGTTTATATTCAGCTCTCTTTTTCCTCTTGGATCTTACACTTCTGTGAACTGCAAAGCCAACAGCTGTAGCTGTAACATACCTTTGAATTTTGCTGTCTCTCAGGAAGATGAATCAGAATGTGTTAGCTGTCATATACTTTGCGCTTTTTTCTTACTCTTCAAGCTTCTAAATACTGTTTATTATTGCTACTACTTTTTTCCTCTATTTGGCTTTTAAAAAATGGACTGAGATTATTAAAGTTTGTATCTTACAACACAAACAGAAGATACTCTTTAAGTTCCTTATCCATCTGAAACCTACATTAATGTCATATGAAAATATCTCTTAATCTGGATTGGTACTGCAGTTCTTAAGTTGCAGTGTCTGCTTTTCTGGGTGCACAAAACTGTTGATCATTAAAAGACTATTACTTCTTCATTTTTTTTCTTTGTGTGACACAATTCCAAGAGAAGAAAAACCCTGACCTAGCTCTGCAGGCTTCAGCCGGGCCTTATTGCGGTGATTTGCTGCTCTGGAGATGCACGTTGTAATGAGGCCGTGCGATGGCACTGTCTGGAACTGAACATCATTCACGCTGTACAACTTCAGTTTCCAGGGTCCCATGCCTCCAGCATTCAATGTGTGGGCAGGCTTTCCTCTGTGCTCATAAAGAGATAAGTGGGGCTGGTGTGCTGGAAGATGTGTTGCACAGGGATGTGCTTGTGCAGTGCAAATACAGATCTGGTTTTGATACAGGAAGGTCTGGCACATCCATCAGGATGCTGATTCCAGACGTATATTTGCATTGCCAAACACTATTAAAAAGTAAATAATTTTGCAGGACAGCATGCTGTTCCTGGACAAGAACATTAGGAATAGCGTACCCAAGATTGATTTGTCTCTCACTACTTAACAGATACAGAAGGGCAAGGAAGTTGTTTTACTCCCATCGCAAAACTTAGTAACTATACTTTGTTATTAAGTCCTGCAGTATTAATTTCTCTTTGACCCTACCTCAGATTTTGTCCCTCACACAGCCTTTTACGTAAGCTAAGTATTATCCTTTTTATTCTAAAGATGTGCATTTAAATGCTGTAATACCCATTTTACAAATGCAGAAACTAAAGCCAGGTTTGGGGAAATTGGCTTTATTTAAACTACAGGGAATTCACCTCTGATCTAGGCTTTGAACTTGGGATTAATTATTTCAGTTTTGTAGTCAATTCCCTAAATACAAAGCCATGTCCTAGTAAGTGTTTTTTAAGGACTATAAAAGTGATGTGTTTCATTGCAGGTAACTGTCTGGGAAACTATTTTGCAGCACAGACATGCAATTCACCAGAGATGAAAAACATATCTGGGCTAATTTTATGCAAGCAATATATGAACTGTAAAAAATTAGCTTGAGTTGAGTGTAATGGAAAGGATGAATAATGAATTTAATGTCAGTGAAATGACCTAGAAACGTCTTTGGTCCTAGTGACCTAGATTGTCTCACAGAGGCCAACAGTCGTGTTTGTGGGCCTTGAAGGTTGACTCTGAAGTCTGTTGGATCAGTAAATGTGGAGTGCAAGTGGAGCAACTGTGTGTGGTTAAATACATCTGAAGAAGACAGAACAGGGATTAAAGACGATATATTGGGTTTCTGTGGCAAGGTTTGGTGCGGGGGGGGCTGCAGGGGTGACTCTGAAAGAAGACACCAGGAGGTGTCCCCATGTCAGACACAGCCAGTTCCGGCTGGATCCAAGACGGCTGGTCAAGACTACGCCCATCAGCGATGTTCATGGCATCTGTGTGATAACATTTAAGGTGTGGTAAAAAGCACTGCATGGCAGCTATGAGAGGGACTGAGACAATAAGAGAGGGACTGAGACAATAAGAGAGAAACAACCCTGCAGACACCAGAATCGGTGAGGAAGGAGGAGGAGAGAGGTGCTCCAGGTACCTGAGCAGAGGTTCCCTTGCAGCCCATGGAAAAGACCATAGTGATATGAGTTGCCCCCGTGTAACTCATGGAGGACCACGTCAGAGCAGATACCCACACTGCAGCCCATGAAGGACCTCATGCTCAAACACGTGGATGTGCCCTGAAGGAAGGTGCTGCCCATGGAGAGCCTGTGCTGGAGCAGCCCTAGTGTTTTGGCAAGATCCGTGGCCTGTGGGGGACCCGCACTGGAGCAGTCTGCTCCTGAAGGGCTGCACCCCATGGAAAGGACCCATGCTGGAGCAGTTTGTGAAGGACTGTCTCCCATGGGAGGGACCCCTCGCTGGAGAAGGAGAAGAGTATGGAGAGGGAAGAACAGCAGAGACAACGCAAAATGAGCTAACCACAGTCCTCATTCTCTGTGCCTTTCAGGAGGTACAAGGTGGAAGAGTCAGGAGTGAAGTTGAGCCTGGGAGGAAGGGAGGGATGAGGGGAAAGTGGTTTTAGTTTGGAGTTTGTTTTTTGTTTTGAACTATCCTATTCTGTTATTAATTGGCAATAGATTAATGAGTCTGTTTTGCCTGTGATGGTGACTGGTAAGTGACCTCCCTGTCCTTGTCTCAACCCACGAGCTTTTCCATTGTGTTTTCTCCACTCCCTGACCTGCCGAGGAGGAAGAGTAAGAGAGCGTCTCGGTGGGCACCTGGTGACCAGCCAAGGTCAACTCACTACAGAGGAAAAAGAGAAGGAAGTTCTTGATGTAAGCTGTTGTTTCCAGGATTTTATAAAAATGAGGGCAGTTCTCATTCCAATTACAAGGCAACCAGCCGGGATGCTGAGATACTTAGTTGATTGATTTCTCTGGTCTTTGTAGCTGTTAGATCTTCTATACGAAGTGGTTCGCCTGAATATTTTGTCTCTTCCCCCACATTTTTGAAGAGCACAACTGTACTTACCTCAAAATTACCAGTGGGAAATAAGACATTATTCAGCTGCTGGACTCTGATGTTCTGTTATTTCCTATTGCACAGCAAACATCTGAGAACAGCCTTTACTGTATCTGTTCCATTAAATTTTGGATTCTTCTTGAACCAATTCATCCAGCTGCAGTAATACACCTAGCTGGAAACATCCTTAAGAAATAGGAGTGGTCCAGTGCTTGGAGGACATTCTTGCAACATGACTGGGAAGTGGGTTAACCTGAAAGCAGCATTGCTAGCACACAGTGAAAAAAGAAAATGGGTCAGTAACTTAGAAGTTAACTGATTAAGAAAGGGTCTGCCAAGTTTTGCATGAAAATCTTGTACCTTTTAAGGTCTACTGTATCTGGATTAAAGACAGTCCATCTGTGTTTACTTGGATTGCTTTTTTGACAGGGCAGGGACAACAAATCATTCTTAGCTAGTGCTCAGTTGCGCCATTATAGGGGATAAGATACTTGCAACACCTGGGAAGGATGAATTTCTCACTCTAGGTCTTTGTAAAACTCCTTCAACTTCCCAGGCTTAGCCTCTTGTTTTTCTAATGTCCTTTTCTTTCTAGCACCTTTTAACTTTGATTGATTCTATCTTGGTTTGGGGGTTTCTTTTTGATGTTAAAGATGTTTCCTACAATATGCATTTGTCCTTTATGTAAGGTACATAAGCACTTTATGGTATCTGTATTTATGTCTGGTCAAAGATAAGGCCATTGATCATTTTTGTCACATTGCATACTTCTGTTGTAACAACTTGTTTACATGCATGGGAGATGTGTTATGAAGGGATAAGACAGATTTTGCTAAGTCCCCAAGCAAGTTTCTTGCAGGCTTTGTTACTACATTCTACCTGTAGACTGGTTCTAGATTGGTTGTACACTAAAATGCTCAACAGGTTTGGTTTAATATATATACATAGAAATTTTCAGGAAGATTTGTATCAAACCCTCAGGTCTTTGCTCTATAAGCATGTACAGTCGCTGTTTGTCAGTTAGTTTCTGTTCTTGCTATTTTACTGTATTTTTTCTACTGAGAATGAAATATTCATTTCCTTTCTTTGGTGAGCCTTGTAATTTATTAGAATTTGACTTCATCTGTGGTAGGAAAAAACAATGTGATTTGACACCACCTAAAAACAATGACGTGTCTCTCCTTTGTCTATTTCCTAGTCAGGCCTTAGTCTGGCATTAAATTTTGTTTAAGTATAAGGTTGAAACTTGGAAAGGCTTTCATCATATTTTTTTCTGTGTCAGAAAAGCTGTGTATTGTCAAAGAGTACAGAAAGCAAGATGAACATAAATGTCTTTATGTAGGTGGAAAGGGGCTGGAGCTTCCAGCACTTTCAGTCTTGAGTCTCTCTTGTGTAGGAGTCCCAGTTGGGTACCTGCTTGTTGAGGTCTGGGCAGATAGGTGGCAGTCCTGTTTCTTTATTTGTACAGTATTTGACAATGGATGAATAGCTCTTGGGCCATACAAACACCTGTTCAAGCTTCTTTTGACACACTCATGATAATATGTACCTGCGCTAGTGCTCTCCTGTCATCTCTATTTACTGTCTTTTTTTCACGTTTATCTTGCTCTTTCTGCTTCTCTGCTTGCCCTTCCCTCTCTCACCCATTTCCTCTTCAATTTTTCCTTCTCTGCCAAGTCACTTATTTTCATTTTGTGTGCTGCTTAGAATACTTCCTTCTGAGTCTTTTCTAATTCCCTTTTGATTAGCTTTTTTTGTGTGTGTCAGGATTGCATATACAGACAAGAATGCTTAGAATTTAGACAACTATTGGATAGCTTCCTGGCACCATCTGAAGCTTGTGTTCAAGGATGTATGCACGCTACCAAAAACTGTCTTTAGGATAATGCACAGAGCTCCTGTGCTCCAAGACACTTGGCTCACATTAACTGAGTTCTTGAATCAAATATTTTTCAGGTGAAGTGGTAACCCTGTGAAGGATACGTCTACTCTATTCTGAGTGGTTTTGCCACATTGAGAGTGAAAAATATGTCAATAAAAGGAGAATCAGTAAGAATGGGTTCCTGTTTCGGAAGGTTACTGAACTGAAATGGAAAATTTTCTGATCTAAGACTGGAGTAGTTCCAGTGCTGCTACCTGCCACAAGATAATAAAGTGCAGTTAAAAGAAATTCTGCTATTGTTAAAGTAACACTGCAGCACAGCGCCAGTATTTCAATTTACAGGAAGGCTGATGTGTACATTAGCACCAGGAGTAAGTGCCATTTCACATAGTCTGAGTAGTGTTTTATTAGGAGACATGTTTAGAAAATACCGTGCTCCCCGAAGTGGAGATGTGAACACTCACAAAACCTTCAGTGGGGTGAGAACACCAATAAAATCATGCTCCTCCTCACAAATAGGTGAGATTCACTTGAACTAAAACTCTAAAGGATTCAGTCCTCTTAATTCCTGTTTCTACATGCCAAATTCGTAGGTGCAGAAATTCCTCAGTCTGACAGTTATTTCCTTACTGTGTGCAGTCATACCAGCAAAAATAGCCTATAGAATATTTTAAGCATCTGCTCTGGGAAATAAAAAGGCTTCAGTAAGACAACATTGAAGTGATTTAGAATGCAAGTAGCCATTGTGATATCCTTGATCAAGATGGCTGTTGGCAGAAGACATTCTTCATTTATTGGGAATCTAACTACTTACAGGTGTGTTCAGCTGGTGAGAGGAACTGTGTACCTCAGGGGGGACCATTTGGTGAGAGTCAGGGGTGCAGACATCTGTATTTGGTCAAGTGTCTTCCCAAAAGAACTAGTCCTAGATGTCCAGGTTGTTGGTTTGACTTCTGTGAGCCCTTACGGAGATCACTGGAAAGGTGATGAGAAAGAGAACGTCTTGTAACATGGCCTCTCCGTGTTTCACTGAGGAAGTATTGAAGCATGTAGTCTTTCTTAACGACTTTTGCTGGCCTTCATCCTAGTCTTAAATGACCTCTTACAATGCAGTGCTGCTGGAGCGTATGAGTCTAAACTGTGACAGCACACCAGAGATGTGTGTTGCAAGAGAGCATTGCTGATGTACAAAATATCAGGATTTATTTTGATACATATGCATGTCTAGCAATGCCAGAAATTAACTGGAAATGTAATTCTATGTATGGGAAGAAACAGAAAAAAACCCCCAAACTGTGACCTGTTGCAGTACTCAAACAGATTTAAGGTTTTCTCACTGAGGAAGAGAAAGTGCAATATGCTAGTTTAATTATCTGAACATTAAAAACATAGCTAAAAAGACCTTCTGTGCAATAAATAAACATTTTCTAATTTCAGTTTACTTTAGCAGCATGAAAAAGTACTTTCTCTCTTGTCCCAGTAAAGTCAGGACCTCATTAACTAAAGAATATTTTCCTTTTTACAGTATATTCACTCTTCGGGCATAATTCACAGGGTAAGTGGAAACAATGTAAGAGATGTTTATATTTTGATAATGTGAGTGGTGTTTGTGTATGAGCATGCTCATAAATATGCCTGAAATCCTGTTTATAGTGTCTCAGTTTGATGGTGCCTTTGGTTTCTTCTTCAACAGGAACAAAAGGTGGAATGGTGACACCAGGGTTAACTGGGCACTCAAGCTTAGATTTGGATTTCTTAAATTATTTTATGAAGTTGTAAGTCCTCACAAGAGCGAATAGGGTCTAAATTGGGATGGATAAGAGTTTTTTCTGGCTTTTTGTTTAAAATTACGATTAAACTTATAAAACCAATGTTTAAATGTTGTTTAAAGACCATGTCAGTGTTTGAAGTTGGAGGGGAAGATGAAAACACAGAAACTAAGGAAAACAGCCCAAAATGTTAGAGTCTTGAAAAAACGTGTTTTTTTCTGAGAGAAATTAAGGATCTGATTTCTTTGAATCCCTGCTGTGTCTAAAGTCCACTTAAAATTACTTCTGCACTGTGAAGAATGATGCCCTTGTGCTACGAAGCAGCATAACTTGCCCCAAAACTGCGTAAGAACAGTAGAAAATGGCTGTAATAAAATATCAGGAGCACCACAGAATGTGCACATTGTATAGTAGCTTTAGGCTGGACATGGAAACTATGCAAACTGCCAAAATAATGTAATAAATTGATGTTTTCATTTCTACAACTGCTGAGATCATGGTCTAAACTTGCAGTTGCTTAGACTTTTTCTAAGCTCCCTCTTGATGGCTCTCGTGCTTCTTGGTTTCATTACAGTTCTTTGCACCAATTTGTTTCTCTCCAAAGCCCCTCTGATGTTACAACATCTTTGTATAAAACAAATGGATGCCTGTTAAAAAATTCACGGAGAAGATTCTTCCGAATGCCTTGTGCTAAAGTATGTCAAACAAAGGTTTGAAAAAGCTGAAGGAAAATTTGTTTCTGTTTTTTTTCTTCTTTTCATAACTGGAAATGTCTGATAGGAGTCATTGACGTTGCAAAATCTTTCTCGTTGCCAGTATTCTTCCCCTTGCGACTAAACTTAGAAGTACAACTTCTGAAGAAGTCTCTACAGTAGCTAAAGAAGCTTAAAGGATTTTCTTTTCATGTTTCAGTTTCCATTCCATTGACTTTGTCAGGAAATTGATTTTCCCACAGAAGAGGGCATAGGCTTTTAAGCAGAATCTTGTTTGATTCCTTCAGTGCTCCTTCTAAGTTTGTCAGGGTGTGATAACTTTTTAAAGCATATTTTGATGTGCATTATGTACAGTCCAGAAATACATATGCGAATCCTTAACTTTATGATGTTGGTATTTAATGCAACAAATTTATGTCCAAACCCTATTCACAGTAAGCTGAGTGATTTCCTTCACTAGCAAGTATTTTTCTGACTTCTAGCAGAAAAAAAGGTTCATCTATCTGGGGGGAAAACATGCTGGAAAAAAGCCAAACATGTGCAAGTTTGTGTGTTTGTTTCTGTTATTTGTGGTGTTTAGTTTTCTAATTTGGATTTATTACATCATTTTACCAGTTGGTATTCTGAGTAGTTGTATGAAAACCATTAAACCTAAAAGAAAGAAAGAAAGAAAGAAAATGTGATTTATTGTATTTGCTCTAAAATAAGTAAATAATATCCATTTCAAATCTGATTACAGGATCTAAAGCCTGGAAACTTGGCAGTAAATGAAGACTGTGAATTGAAGGTAAGATAGGACTTTTTGAAAAAACAAACATTTATTAGAAATACACCACGGAAGACAACAGGTGCAACAGCTGTAGACGTGCTGGCCAGACGTGTTGTGCCAGGCTTTCAGCCCAACACTGCAAAAATGTTTTTTAGCATACATCGTACAAAATAGATACCTGTATGTATCTGTTGTAACTCTGTTGACTGACCTGAATGTTCAGGGTCCAGTAATTTCAGAATTTCCCTATCTAACACAAAGAGCCATTGTCTTCTCCTGGCTTGGAGGTGAGTGGGTCTCTCTCTTCCCCACCTCCCAGCTGTGCAATTACATTCCAAGATGCAGCCCGGGTCTAAGACGTTATTCCATGATATGATCACTGTGCCCTCTCCTTTAGCACATCTTACTGTTCGGTTACCTTGGACATTTTAAAGCTTTTAGATAAAATGAGGCAAAAAATTCTATATCAGAATGCAATTTTGAGAAGTGACAAGGAGAAAGTGTAGCATTAAGATTTAGCTTTTGTTTCTTGACTTCCAGAGTGAAATTATGGTGCCCCTGGTTGTACAATAAGCTCTGACATCATATGCAGGTTATCAGAAAGGAAACTCCAGTCTGCAAACAGAAAGCAAATGTTGAAAACTGTGCATAAAAATATCAAGCCAAGGATTTAATTGGGATCTCCCTTACACTGAAGGAGTTGAACTGATTTCCCCTCCATGTGCATGCAGTGGGCAGGATGAGACCCTGCTCTGTGAGAGCACTTCCAGGGTCTGTTTGTGGGCACAGGACCAGCTGCCAGGGATAGTCCAACCCTTTGCCCTCATGTCTGTGCTCTCAGTAGCTTCCCTTGCATCAGCTCCAGCAGCGATGAGGCTGTAGGCAATTGGTAATTAATTAATAAGCAGTCAGTTTTATTTTTCACACTGAGCTTTCTGTCTCCCTTGTCTGATGCTTTCAACTGCTACACAGGAATCAAAAAAGTGACATGAGGGGAAATCGCTGCCCTTTCTGCAGTTTCAAGGTTACAAGTTATTTTTGTTACGGTTACTGAAGTAAGTTAGGAGGACAAAGTCTGCTGAGTAGCAGCAGAACTTATCCTTGAGGAGCTGAGGGGAATTGCTCTCTTTCTCATAATTTCTGCATTATAAAAAGGATTTTCAAACTTGCTCTGAAAATTCCTTTGGAAGTTCCGGCTGAGAAGTTGTAGATTGGAGTATGAGAAAAATAGTTTAGTGTGAAGATTGTTACTGAAGTGTTAATATTAAGGACTAATAAGATACACTTGTTCCTGAGCCTAATGAATACGCAGATGAAAAGAAATCCTGAATTAATACATAATGCACAAAAATTCTCACTGTCGTTTTCTGCTTTTACAAAAAATACAAACCTAAATTAGATTTTAACTGTTTTCAATTCCAGGTGTCAGGGGCCTTACTATGGAAAATGCCTAAAAAGCTGTTACAGAATAGATGGTACCTCATGTGTCTTGAACTGTTACATAAAAATTCCTTTTTTCTTCCACCCTTCGTCCTGTGTTACTGGGGAAACATAATGTGTGCTGTATATGTAGAATAAATTTGAAAGCTCTATGTAAAAGTGTATTTTGCTATTGCAAATATTTTGAGTCCAGTAAATCTTCAGTATCCAGAGAATCAGCCGTAATCAAGTGCATTTTACTGTAAGGATGAAAATCTCTCCATTTGCATCCTATTCCTATTTTTAAATTGGTGAGTAGTCAGCAGTTAGGGGGAAAATATGGAAATGATGTTTCAAATCTAGCAATAAAGATAAGCTATAGCATTTTATACTCTTGATCTATGAATGAAAATACAATTTTCCTTTCTCTTAGTGCCAGGGAATGATGAAAATATCCTGAAATATTTTAAAATGTTTAATCATAGAATCATAGAATGATTTGGGTTGGAAGGGACCTTCCAATCTCCCTGCGAAGGCAGGGACATCTCCCACTAGATCAGGTTGCTCAAGGCTCCATCTGATCTGGCCTTGAACACTTCCAGGGATGGAGCATCCACAACCTCTCTGGACAACCTGTGCCAGTGCCTCACCACCCTCAGGGTAAAGAACTTCTTCATTATATCTAGTCTAAACCTATGCCTTCCAGCTTCCACCCATTACCTCTCACCCTAAAGTCCCTCCCCAGCCTTCTCGTAGGCCCCTCTTCAGGTACTGGAACGTTGCTATAAGGTCTCCCTGGAGCCTTCTCTTTTCCAGGCTGAACAAGCCCAACTCTCTCAGCCTGTTCTTGTAGGAGAGGTGCTCCAGCCCTCTGACCATTTTGGTAGCCTTCCTCTGGACTTGTTCTAACAGCTCCATGTCTCTCTTGTGTTGGGGGCTCCAGAGCTGGACACAGTATTCCAGGTGGGGTCTCACAAGGGCAGACTGGAGGGACGGAGTCGCTTCCCTCAACCTGCTGGTCACACATCTCTTGATGCATCCCAGGATGTGGCTGCCTTTCTGGGCCGCAAGCGCACACCTTTGTCTCATGTTGATCTTATCGTCCACCAACACGGCCAAATCCTTCTGCCCAGGACTGCTCTCAATCCACTCATTGCCCAGCCTGTATCTGTGCTGGGATTGCCTCGACCAAGGTGCAGGACCTTACACTTGGCCTTGTTAAACTTCATGAGATTGGCCTGGGCCCACCTCTCAAAGCCTGTCAAGGCCCCTCTGGATGGCATCCCTTCCCTCCAAGCATGTCAACTGCACCACACAACTTTCTGTCACTGGCAAACTTGCCACTGTCCATGTCGCTGACAAAGATGTTAAATAGTACTGGTCCCAGTACTGATCCCTGAGGGGCACTGGTTGTCACTGGTCTCCACTTGGCCATTGAGCCGTTGACCACAACTCTTTGAGCGCAATCTTCCAGCCAGTTCCTTATCCACTGAGTGGTCTATCCTTCAAATCCACGTTTTTCCAACCTGGAGACCAGGATGTCATGCGAGACAGCGTCAAAGGCCTTGCACAAGTCCAGGTAGGTGACATCGGTTGCTCTTCCCTTGTCAGTTGATTCTTTTATTCCATCATAAAAGGCTACCAGATTTGTCAGGTAGCATTTTCCCTTGGTGAAGCCATGTTGTTTTCCACCCATTAGCTCCACATTTTCCATGTGCCATAGCAGAGCCTTCAGAAGGATCTACTCCATGATCTTGCCAGGCGCAGAGGTGAGACTGACTGCCCTGTAGTTGCCTGGGTCCTCCTTTTTTCCCTTTTTGAAAATGAGGATGATGTTTCCCCTTTCCAGTCAGTAAGCACTTTACCAGACTGCCATGACGTCTCAAATATGATGGAAAGCAGCCTAGCAAGTTCATCTGCCAGTTCCCTCAGGACCCGTGGATGGATCTCATCAGGTCCCATGGGTCTCCTAATTAAAGAGAGTATTACAAAGCCGTCACTCTTGGTATAGTAATGCACAAGCGCTCCTAGGAAAACTTCTGCCCTCTACACATATGAAGCCTGACAAACATGGGAACTAGTGGTTGTTCATGCAAAGCTACATGATCAGCTGTCTGTGGATGATGATTTAACTGGGGTAGACTTTACTTACCCAAGTCCCCGCTTCTCATTAGAAACACAAATGCGTTCATAAATATGAAATGAATGTGATTCCAGGAGCGGAATTTTCTTGTTGTTGGCCACATCTTTTGGCACCATCTTTGGCTGGGCCCTGCAGGTGGATCTTATTGGGCCAATTTTGTAGAAGCTGGCAAAAGGCTATAATGTTCATTTTTGCTCTTGCTGCTGTACACATTGCTATATCTAGAGATTAATACCTGAGAGTCTTGGAAATAAGATGAATTGTGCATAATGCTTTAAGAACATTGCACTGACCTTGCATTCTTTACAGAGGATTGTTCTGTAGCTGATACAGTAGGTTGGAGAAAACTCAGTGGGGCTAGTAATTCCCTACCCTTCTTGCAGATTTTCACTGTGACCTAGAGGAAGCCTTCCCTTGTATGAGTTTACTAATGAAACAGAAATAATGATACCGAGGGGGCCGGTTAGCTCAGTGGTTTGAGCATGGTGCAGACAACAATGACAACACGGAGGTCGTGGGTTCGATTCCCACTCGGTCCCCATGTGTTGCCTGGTCTAGATGAGAGGTGGCGTCCCTGCCCATGACAGGGAGGTTGGACTAGATGATCTCTAAGGTCCCTTCCAGCCTAGGCCATTCTATGATTCCTTACTGCAGAATATTATTGGAATACCCCCTCTTGAATAATTGTGCCACCTGAAGTACAAGAGCAATGAATACCATCCAGCATGGATGCCTTTCTTTTAGCCCTGACATGATATGATGGTGATTCAAGGGAACTTTTTCCATTGAATTTGACTACTATATTTGTAATTAATAATTGAAGAAGTTAATATTTTCTTTATTGGTTTTATGGCTCTTAGTGTTGCTATGAGAAAAAAAGTTGTAAAGCTCCTTGGTACTTCTGTCTTGATTTTTAAAATGAGAACAAGACTCCTCAGTGAGAAAAAGATGCAAAAAAACCCCCACGCTGTGCACATTGCTCCCATTATATTTTTTCTTTTCCAGATTTGTAAAGTCTATATGAAATAGATAACTAGCTGTCTGATCAGAATGTTTTTTGTGCTTCCACCACAGATTCTAGATTTTGGATTGGCAAGGCATACAGACAGTGAGATGACTGGTTACGTGGTTACAAGGTGGTACAGAGCCCCAGAGGTCATACTTAACTGGATGCATTATACACAAACAGGTCAGCATCTCTTTAGAAAAGTCTTAACAGAACTAAAACTCACTGAATCACGCAATATATAAGCAAGTGTTTCTGTCTGAAGTGAATGAGAAATTGGAGGTGGAAATGACAATATAATTGCACAAAACTTCCTTGTAGATAAATTGCAGGTAATTGCTTGGTGGTTGTGGTTTGGGGACCTTTTAATATATTTTCTGAGAGTAACAAAGTGCCAGGGTGGTTGGAAAAAAGTGATGTAAATGTGTACACATGTGACAGTCTGGTCTATGTTCTTGTTTTCCACACTGACTCATTGTAACTTGAACAGACAGGGGAAAATGGCGGAAGGAGGGGATTCAGGTAGTGCTAGGATAACTACAGAAGTTTTTGAATGCATTGAAAATTTACTTCCCATGTGCTTCTACCTTTTACTGATAAACTGATTCTGCATATTATCAGATCATGTCCAGTTTCCTAATTAGAAGGGCTGGTGGTTTTACTTGGCAAGGCAGTCATTTATTTTGTAACAGGCTATAAAGGTAAATTTTACACTTTAAAATGTGTTTTAAATTAAACTTCATGTACATCTGAATAGACAAGTATTCAGCAATTTAATGTATGTTGGGATTTTTTTTCAGTTGACATCTGGTCTGTGGGCTGTATAATGGCTGAGATGATAACAGGGAGGCCTCTGTTCAAAGGAAATGATCGTATCCTTCAGTGAATTTATGACAGTAATGTAAGAAAATAATGAGAGGTTCTTATGTGAGTAACATCTAGTAAAATATTTTAGATTTACAGAAGACATCTAATCCTGTCATTTCACTGCTAAGTTAATCCTGTCATTTCATTGTGGCGTTAAAAAAATAGTTAAGATTAAGCCATAATACAACGTCAAGTGATATTTCATTCCCAGTAGTAGTTGTAATAGTTATTAATGGATGATGTTAATAGAAGACAGCAAGAATTTTTTACGTTTTCTGTTTCCCACCATTGTATATTTGACAGCTCTGCCTAATCGTTTTGCACTGTCTTTCCCTTGTGAAGTTCCAGTCAATAAATCACTTACCTGCAAATACTTGTTTACAGAATCACAGAATCACAGTTGTTTACTTTTAGTTATATTTATATTTCATAGAATAGAATCATATGTGGTTTGAGTTGGAAGGGACCTTAAAGATCATCCAGTTTCAAGCCCCCTGCCATGGGCAGGGACATCTTCCACTCAAAGTGCCACCACACCTGGTCTTGAACACTTCCAGGGAAGGAATGTCCACAACTTATCTAGACAACTTGCTCCAGTGTCTCACCACCCTCATCATAAACAATTTATTTCTTATGTCCAATCTAAACCAACTGTCTTTCAGTTTACAACCATGGCCCCTTGTCCTATCACTAAATGCCCTTTTAAAA